ACTCTTTCCTATACCTCAGCTTCCCTGCTCACCTCGTAAATCCTCCCAGTCTGCACCAATACATCATCATCCATGAACACACACATGGCCCCAGCTTGGCTTCTTGTCTGCTTGCCCAAGGGACCACAAAGGAGCCCTGCATTGGATCAACCTCAGCTTGGATGCTAGTCGAGAAGGAAGGGGCTCCAAGGGGCTGCATCTCTGGGCTTGTCCTGCTACACAGATTGCATTGAGGCCAAAGCCTCAGTGTCCTGGGCTCCAGGTTAGAACCACAGAGCTCTGAAGGACTGGGAGCTTTGAGACCACGAAAACTCTGAGGGTTGCGCAAACTTCAGCTCCCACCTCATTTATGTAGCAGCTGAGGTGTCCAGCTGAGCTGGAGAGAGCCACCACATCACCTAAGGTGCTGGAAGTCTAGACAAAGCTGTGGGAAATGCAAAGGTTTTGGGTACGTGCAGGGTGAACTCAGAGAATATATCTACTTGGCACCGGTCAGACCACACCTTGAGCACTGTGTCCAGTTTTGGTCCCTGCTATACAAAAAAGATGCGGACAGGTTGGAAGGGTCCAGAGAAGGGCCATGAGGATGCTCAGAGGACTGAGAGAGCTGCTGTATGAAGAAAGGCTGAGAGAACTGGGCCTGTTCAGCCCTGGGAAGAGAAGGCTTAGGGGGGACCTTATCACCACGGACCAGTACATAAAGGGTGGCACCAAGAGGATGGAGACTCCCTTTTCACAAGGAGTCCCATGGAAAAGACAAGGGGCAATGGACACAAGTTGCTGCTGCAGAGATTCCCATTGAACTGCAGAAGAAATTAATTTACCACGAGATCAATCAGACATTGGAACAATCTCCACGGGAAGTGGTGAATTCCCCTGCACTGATCAGTTTTAGGAGTCAGCTTGACAGGTGCTGACTGAACTCATTCAAACTGTACTTTTACCTTGAGAGGTCGGACTGAATGATCCTTCAGGTCCCTTCCAACCTGGTATTCTATGATTCTATGAATATTTAAGAGGGCTTCCTGGCTTTCTGCTCTGAAGTTGAGCTCTGAGGTCCCCAGTTGAACCCGTCAGTGGCCTGCAAGCCCTGGTAGTCCACGTCTAATTTTATTTGAAGTACTTCTATTGCAAAGCTTAGTAACGCAAAACTTCTTCCCCCCCCCTTTTGCACAAAACAGTTAAAAATACAAAACAAACAAAAATTCTCAAAAGAAATATTCCAGAACTACTTCCAGAAGTTGGGTAAGATGTTTACTTGTATGTTCATCCTGCCTAGCATCTAACAACAGCGTGACCAGCAAAGCTCTTTGAGAGAGGCTCAGGTAGCATAAATGCTGCCATTGTTTGTTCTCCTTGTCTGGCAATGTAATAAAACCACTGTGCTGCAGGGATGGAAAAGAAGCTCTTACACAGGAAACTCTGTAAATACAGAGAAAAATCAATGTAATAAAAGATTCAGGATAGACTGTTGCTGCCTGTAACACCAGTATACCCAAGTGCATAACAAATACATCTTCTGGTTCACAGCAACTGATTTAACGATAATTAGGAATAGAGAGTTCTTGCAAATGCTGTATTTTAACACAACGTTTTCAATCTTTTCAGTATGGAAACTATCACTTACAAGCAACGTGCATGTAGATACAGAGAATACTGACACTGGGAATGGGACGAATGGTGCTGATGTTCTGGTATGGAGTATAGTGCTACAGTACACGAGGTTGTGTCGCACCAGTTGGGCCAGTTTCAAGTCCCACACTTTCTCCACTTACCATGACGACTCCTCCAGACTGCTCCGCGGTGCACATGCTCATGATGGGCGCCATGCCAATGGTAGTCCCCTGGAAGTACACCCCGCTGCGGGAGGGCGGGAAAGGAGGAGAAGAAGCAGCACAGAATCACCGCTCAGCGCCAAAAAACCGCCCTGTTATTTTCAAGTCTTGTATTTCTGCCAATCTCAAGCAAAGATCCCGTTTCAAACGTGTCAGCTCCAGACATTTGCAGGTTTGAAACAATGAAAAGCAGAGATTAATTGTGTCGACTTGCCGAACTGACAACGACAGCATCCCTGCTAGGAGGAAGTTCCATCTGATCACTGTCCTTTGGGGTTACTGCTGTAACAGGACCCTTCTTCCCTTTCTTTTTTCCCCTGACTGAAGTTGGGAATAGAAATACAAACATAAAAATAATGTCTCTAGCTCAAAGAAGGGTTATTTTAATGCAGTGGGAAGTTTATATGCTACTTGTTATAACACCCAGCCTAGGATGTAATCATTCCAAACAAAGTCTTACTATGCATAGAGTAATCAAATACCTCCTGAGGGAGAGTTTGGAAGGGCTCACTCTATTCTTACACAGATACTGTAAGAATACCTACATAATGAGTAAAGAGCTCCTTTTAATTACTAAGATGGCAGGTATGTTTATCTGTACAGCATAAAGAATGGTTCATTGCTTAAAATTATCAAGAAAGAGGTGTTTCTCTTACATGGTTTTTTTGTTTTTGTTTTTTTTAAGATTACTTTTACTTTGAGCATGTTTACTCAATCACTTTAACCCAGGAAGCAGCAGCAGGGTAAAAGTTGTGTATAATTTAATTTTTAAGTCACAAATGCAAATGAATTGTCCAATTTAGATTGCATTTTCAAGTCTGTTAAGGTCTTTCAAGTAACAAAGGTGCTTCACATAGTGCCCCCTCAGCTCTACTTTTGGGGTGAGGGCAGGACTGCCTTTTTCAGTAACAATTGAGACCGAGACCTGCTTAAACCCTTTGTAAATTCAAACCCTAAGTATTTACCAGCTTATTCCACATCTACACTTCTATATGAGTTGTATGCAGAAAAGGTCTACAAGTAACAGAGCTACTGCAGAAATTAATCTGGAGCATCTGCTGAAGGGCTCTGCAAAATGCTTTTATGTTTGATGTTTGCAAAGACAAACCCTCAGGAGCACAGATGTTCCTCCCAACAGTTTAGCAACTAGGGAAGAATTCGGTGCAGCTATTCCCAAATCAGTGAAATCCCAGCCGATATTGAATATAATGTCAAGTCTACCTTATCAGCTGCGCGTTGTCATGGGGTTTACGAGGTAGTAGTTTGAGCTTTCTCCAGTCCAGAAACTCATGGAGGCTGGTGAAAGGGTCTTGAGAAATAGAGCACTTATCCATGTCGTTCCACACTTCCACTCCGACCAGGGCTACTCGAATGTTTAGTGGCCTATAGAACTAATGAGAAAAGAAAAATAGAAATGTGTCTCAAAACCCCATTTCAGACCACATTGGATAAGAATATTTCAACAGAAGCGTAATGTGCGTATGAACATTTCTTGCAGAGGCTTAAATGGTCTCTTCTTCAGGGCAAAAGTGAGCATCTGATAGGGCTGATGTAGACAAAATATTTCGATGCCTTATGGAAAACAGTTCTGACTTGACTAAATACCCGTAAGGTGCTTAAAGAGATCCAGGCATCTCTTTATAAAGAGATCCAGGCTACTTCTCTATGTCCCACCCAAGTGGGACATAAGTGCTAGTGCTCTCCATCACCAGCACCTATGCAATTGATAGAGGCAGCTGTGCTGTACTATGGTTGGGCTTCAAAATAATAGCTGAAAATTAGTCAAAGTCATCGAGACTTCCTCACAGCAGATCAAAACAAGTGATTTTAGCACTCTAAGTTACGTTATTATCCCACTGGTAAATGCAACAAGAGGGAAGCCAGAGCAGCGTTAGCAATGGAGCAGAGATAACAATTCTCGTGTGAGACTGATGTGGAGAAGGAGTCGAGAATCGATCAAGTCCAGATTTGGCTGACAGTCTGAGGAAAGTGCACACTAGATCTCTGTCTTGTTTATATGCATTACAGTCATTTGGAGAACGCTGGCATTTGCTTAGCATAAATTAAGCATGAAACTTAAATATATTATAACGTGCAAAATTAATTTTAAGCAGGTAACATGTAAACACGTGTCCTCCAGTAATAAGTCAGCAAGACAATTATGGAAGAGGTGGAGGTGCCTTCAGCAGCTTGTTTTTAATCAAGAATGCTTCTCCTCGAGTTATTGCCCTTGAAGCATCACTTGATAAGTTCTCAGCTAAATTAACACTCTCTCAGTTATAATTTCACTACTGGACTCTTAATCTTTTATGGCCACACAGCACAACAAAAATAAATTTTAATTTGCTCAAAAACCACTGTAGAGGACTCCTAGTGCTTATTGTTTATTGTCAAGAAATTACTTCAAGCACCAAAAAATGCAGTGTATGTCTCTTTTTTTATTGCTGTCACTCAGCCATCAAGTTCTGCTTCCTTAAGCACTGCATATGTTTAATTCTGCCATCTTCCTGAGGCTATATATCTTATCAACTGTGCTTTCAAGGGCTCTTTGTTGGCCTTACAACTGGACCATCTCTCGCTGCTGCAAAGGACTTTGTTCTCCAAATTCCTCCTCAAAATAATCCTTTCTCTACGGGCTGTTCCATATGCGATTACTGCCACTCTCTTCCCAGGTTAATAAAATCCTAGGGCTAAATTGTACATCTCCCTAGGAAGAGTGCTTCCACAGATAACATCCCATACATAGCAGAGCTCACAGTTTATCAAGTTGAAGGGCATATGAAAGGTTTAAGTTTACTTTTTCGGTTGTACTGGTTGGAGAGAAGCATTGCTCTGAAATACCAGAGTATTAGGAAAGCAGCTCCTTGAAGAGGGGGATGGATAAGGAAACGTGGCAAAGGTTGTGAAAGCTGCTGATCTGGCCATTTCTTCATTTACTAGCAGGGAAAAACACAGATTTAACAGCAACATCCTTCAGAAAGTGTAAGTTTGGACAAAGTGAAATAATGCTCGTGTTCTTACCTTATCAACATAGTTTGCAATTTCGATCAGCCTCTGCTTAATTTTTTCCACGTCCTTGCCTTGTCTCTGAAACTTAGAATGGAAAGGATCAGTGTAGTAGGAGCACAAATACTGTAGAGTTTTCCCCAAAAAACCACCTTACTCTGCCAGCATTGCTGGTGACGTTTGGGGATTACACAGCACAACCAAAGGCCATCGGCAGACTCCTGTTGGCTTCCTGGGACCAGGGTCTGCCTCAGAATAAGCACAGGCTAGAGGATAGGATTTTGGTTCTCATGAAAAGATTTTAAAATCCTAAAGTCTTGCACAGGGATCATTCAGGGCCTGATGTTTTGTGAAAAAGCAAAGGCTCTTCTGTTAGCTCTGTCGGCTCCTGCAGCAGAGCAAATCCCCAACAGTGTTCCAAAAAAAATGTAAGCAACAAAATAACTCAAACCAAGATTTCGATCTCTGGCGGCCATTCAACTCTCTGGAACACTCCTACAGGCAGTCCTGGTTGCTCACTTTGAAGCTCTCTCTGCACACTGTCAGGAAGGCAATGGTGCTTTGTGCAACGTGGTGGTAAAGTGGTAAAGCATCACTTCAAAAGCACTGGAACAGGCTGCCCAGAGAGGCTGTGGAGTCTCCTTGTGTGGAGATATTCAAAATTTGCCTGGCCGTGTTCCTGTGTGACTGCTCTGGTGATCCTGCTCTGGCAGGGGTTGCACTGGGGGAGCCTTCCAGGTCCCTTCCAACTCCTCATATACTGTGATTCTGTGAAAAGCAAGTGTAGGATCCTACAGCGTCTCCCAAACAGCAACGGTCCCACCAAGGGCAATGAAGACTTCGCTCAAGGAGATCCTGGGCAGGGAATTTGTATTTGTCCCTTCTTGAATTTCTGCCAGATATCCCAATTATTTGAGAGTCAAATTCCTTATGAAGTAGTCAACCGTAAAATTTCTTGCAATATCAGTGCTGTCCTATCTTAACGGGGCCTGCCATTGCTTAGCCCTCATCAGCTTTACTTTTGAAAACCATCCTGTTGCTGCCTGAATCACATCCCTTGCAAACCATGGAAGCTGAACGGACCTACCTGTTTCCCACCCGTAACTTTTTAGTTTTCAGTTTCTTACCTCCCGATTGTCTGCCACAATAACAAGCTCCACATACTTCGTTGTCTTCAGAGTCTCTCTCTTGTACTGCCAAAAAAAGACGAAAAGGGTATTTCGTTTTTGCACTAAGTGACCCCTGGAATCAGCTCTGCCTCAGCTCTACAAAGCGCTTGCAAGAGGAGACACACAACATTTCCAAGGATTACACTACATACAAATTTTTATTGTGCTCCTTTCTTCTCTTGGGCATTTTCCTTTCATCTCCCACAACAGAAATCGTCTATGCGGTACTTACTATACAAAACACCCCCAGGATTTGATCAGAGCAAGCAGGGAAGTGGTGCAAAGCCTCTCTCAACCTTTCAGCTTCCTGCAGTTGAAATGTTTGAGTTATCTTTCCTTGCAGGAAAATACCATCTCGAGCAGAAAGACCTTTGCTATTTCCAAGGCACACTTAGAGAAATGATGAGATGACTTTTCGCAAACATTTCACACAATAGACAAACTGGCTACTAAGAAAAATGAGAGATAAAGGGATATTTGAGTGAAGCAGAGAGGAGATCAAGTGGTCAACTGATAAATTATGTAGGAAGAAAAACCCCAAGATCAAAAACTGCAGAAAAAAAGGGGATGAACTGTCAGTGTCTGGGGAAGCAAACTAATACTCTAAAAATGGAAGGCATACATTACATTTTGTCTCTGTATATTAATATATAAAAGTCATTCATGCTACTTGCAGCTCTAAAAGCAAGTCTAAAAGAATCATAATTTTTAGCTGCAAAAAGATCGCTGAAGAAAATGAAATATTTTGTAATAGAATTAATCATAGCACAGCTCCTCTGCTACCCTAAATTTAAGTGACCTATTAATGCCTGTAAAAGTTGGGTGATTTACAGCAGCTGAGCATCTCTTCTATCATTCCTCCCCTGTTTCTGGAACGAGACCGTCAGGGAAAAGAGGTCTCAGCAGTATATCTGATCTTCATGCCAGAACTTAAGGAGCTTAAGCAGATGTATGACCTACTAATGACCACGATGTCTTGACCTCAACTAATGCTCTGTAACCTAAATCATGACTAAAGCTTTCCAAAGCAAACTGTTCCAAGGCAAACCGTGTGATCCTCGAAGCTAAGTCAGCATTGGCCATCACCTTCCAGCCAAATTTTGCAAAGCTTTTTTTGCATTACCAGAGTGCTCCTCTTTGTTATCTGCAGATGAATGATTTTGAATGTTTTGCAAGCAGCACTGTGTTTGGAGGAAAGCGACAGATGTAACCTTTAGTAACTCTGACTTTCAAACTCTTATTTAGTGGTGTAACTGGAAAACAGCTACGTTTCATTTGGACAGTATTTCTGAACTGGGAAAGCAGCAGAAGCTATAATTGATGAATTGAACATCAGTGATATCAACACTTCACAGGATTACACTTATTAGGGGGTCTGGCAAATGAACTTGGGTAGATATTCTTACAACTTCTCCTGGTATTGGGGTTCTCTGTCCCCTTCGTGTGCTGTATTGGAGGCAACTGTCACCAGCAAGAGGACATGGGGGGCACACAGACTTGGTGCACGTGCCCATGCCTCGTTTGCCACACAGGTCACAGGATGGTTTTGGTTGGAAAAGACCTTTAAGATATTTGAGTCCAGCCATCAAAGTTAGGTCAGCAGTGCCTGGTGATACACTGGCTGGGAACCAGGACACCAAGGAGTCATCACATCCCCTCCTGCTGCTCCCGGAACAGCAGCACATGCAATACAAAGGACCTGCCACCTTTCAGGAGACTTCAGAGGAACCTGCAGTGCTCTGGCAGAGCTCGATTTACCTCCCTGCAAAATATATCAGACCTGAGTGAGACGGCACCTAAGGCAAACGACACCGTGGGTGTTGTTTGTGACAGAATTGATCTCTCAGACAGTGAAGGTCTGACATAAACCTGAAATTTATTCTGTGCTCCTGATCAGAGATGTAGCCCCAAGGTGCCTCTAGTCTTCTTCCAAATGAAGGGTAGAAGATGAGACACGAAAATCCAGGTTCAAATATATAGGAAGAGCTCTGTTACGTCAATCAGTTTAAACCATTTACTTTTTCCCAAGAATAAAACTGTTTGGACTGGAGAGAGTTATCCTGAGAGAAATTGGCTAGCGGGGTATAAACATGCAAGCCTCTGGTGCCTGACTTGCATAACGAGCCCAGGCCTGTGATTTGCCCAAAGGCTATGAGCATGCCTTGGATGCAATATTTATTGATAAAATGTACCTAATTATGACTGCTCTCAGCTTGCTCTCTGCAGCCAACTGCATCAATGCACAATCCATTGCCTGAGTTAATCCTTCAGAATTAAAATGAAGAGTCAATAATATGGCCGTGATAGATGCGACACAATAGGCTCTGTTCCACTGTGTTTCTTCTCTGCTTCTACCATAACCGATCCCATCACAAAACTGCTGTCCCGTGCCACTGCACCCTTTCCTCATGCTGTGTTTGGATCTAAGAAGCCGAATCTACTCTTTGTCCCATCATTTATCTGTATTTAAGCCTAACCCAAAGGCCAGTCCAACTTCGTGATATACTGATCTCACATTTCAGCTCTGCTCAATAAGCATTTACTGTAGACAATGAGTGAAGGGTCAGGGAAAAAAAAAAACAACCCACACAAAATACCCCCAAACCTGTCAAGAAACCAAAATTTTTCATCGTGCCGTAAGCCTGAGATTGGGTTTCTGCTTTCTTCTGTCACCCAGTGTAATTGGGAGCAGCCCTACGTCTCCACATTTTGCAGGTCATCTGTATTCAGTGTGTCCTGACAGCCCACTTAACTGATGACAACGCTGAAATGTGAAAACTCACTCCACACACACTGCATTCGACAACTTTCAAAATTCATGCATTGGAAGTGTAGCCAACATACTCATAATGCGTATTGTACCTATCCGTACGATGTGAGCGTTGACAGTTTTTATAATTACGTCCACTGAACCACAGCAAAAATATTTTTTTCAGATATTTAAGGTGAATTCGGGCCCATGGTTGAAGCCATCAACAAAATATGTGATAAAAACAGAATAAAAGCCAAGGGTAGTAATGGCATTGCTTTGATTGTGTCAGCTAGTGGTACGCACACATTTTATTTCAGCTGCCTAATGTTACATTGATCACCTCGGTGAAATTCAGTCAAAAGTCACAATGGTTTTAGGGCAACCTTAACGAAGTTGTGTAAAGCACTTTTCCAATGTTTTCACACTATCAGAAATATGCTTTGCCTAAAAAATGTTATATGGAGAGGCTAATGCATTAGATGTAATATTTAATGATCCTAAAATATAAAATAGCTTAATTCCACTATATAAATAATATCTAGGGATGCCATTTAGGTTATTTTCCTTAACAATTAATGTGATGTAAAGGCTTGGTAGTACATGTAAGTATAAATCCCAGTATGTGACATTTAATAAATGCTGATTTGTATCATTGTATAATGTCTGAGCACCTAAACCAGGCTTTTCTACAATCCCTGTTTAATACTTAGATGAACTTATTTCCTCTCCCTGATTTTTTAGCTCATTTAATTTTCTACATTTTCCATCAGCTAGATGTGCTTCATATTGAGCGCACTTCTTCCTACATACAAACAATTACAATAATACATCTACAGAGTAATATGGTGAGTATTTGGTTTTTTCTGCATAAGACACTTTCCTTCCAGAACATAAAGGTTCAAAACCTGGTATTAGCAAAGCACCACAGCTATCATGTTCTCTTCCATCTTGGGTGGGCAAGAGCTTTTCCAGACATCGCTTGGTGTTCTTATGGGGTCTGAAATTCTTATTATAATCATACATGAACTAAAATAAATTGCCATAATATGAAAACAGAACCTTTTCTGTGCTGCTTCATTACCAGAAAGAAAGTAAAAAGCAACTTCAGCATGCAGGATCAAGGAAAAGTAATGAAGCTTTAGCAAACCGTGTAAGCAAATGCTTCATTTTAAACCTGCATTTAAGAATGTGACATCAACATCAACTGCAACCAGAAGGTTGAACGTGTTGTTCAATAGGGACTCTCTGGAACAAATCTGTGGTGGACAGTAACACGGAAATGCTACCAGAGATGTACTCAGCAAACCAGAAACACAGAAGTGCATCATTCACCTACCCTGCCAGCTCGAGGATGGCGTGATGTGCCGTTGTCACCAGTTCTCATGGCAGAGATGTCCAGTTGGTGGCCACAAGATCCTGGGGCTATCTTCAAATTCCTTGCTCGGTAGATCTTGTGTTCACTTGTAGCACCCCCGAATGGCTCCAGGATGTAGCTTTGGTTTTCAAATGCAATAATTCCTCTGGTACAGAAGAGAACAGAGTAAGATGCATGGCTTTCAAGAGCTAACATCTGTTTGTCTCCAACAAAGTTGCAACAGGTTTTAATAATGATGGAGTATGAAAAAGCGAGACGCTGATCTACAATGTCATGGCTGGGTGGAGCAGGAAACATCAAAGCATTGCAGCACCCTACACTTTAGAAGCAGCAATGGCTCAAAGAAAATTTCCTTTTTCTGAAGTGCTGTACTGTAGAGCAAAATTACATTTGTTTTTTGTGATGTGTTTTCCATTCTCCCAGTGATGCATTGCCATTGCGGGGTGCAGTCACGATGTGTGTGCTCCTGAGGACCCATGGCAAACAGTAATGAACAGAAGCGTGGTGAAATGCTTTTGTAGGAAAAGCTACAGAGTGAAAGTACTCATTATGCTCTGCAGCAAGCAGGCATGACACCTTTTAAACCAGACGCCGGCGCAAGCATCAATTCTGCCAGATGAAAGAGGCATTGCTGTATCAAAATGGATTTTTAAAGACTGCACAGTGGGGCAGCAGAACGCAGCACAGATATATTGACCAGTGGCTTCCTGTTTAATACAGTGACCAAGGAAAGGCACCCTTCAAAACCCTTTTCTCTTTTCTAAACGAGGGATAAGCATTTGCTCCTGGGGTGTTGTAAGCATTCATCAATTAGACACTACACTGAATAGTGCCCAGCATTACCAATTTCTCCTCTGTCTTTAAATTATGAAGGCATTAATCTCTAAGCACTGGCAAAGCTTCAGCAGCAATAATTATAATCTACTTACCTGGAATTACTATGAAACTTTTAATTGGCCCAGGCATTCTTCCTCAATTCCTCCTTTAAACAGCTCTGTACTATCTATATATGCTATTAAACGGCAATAATTTTCAGCCCAAAGCTGGCTGTATTTTATTAGTGTGTCTTTTTGGTGTATAGGAAGCGTCTACTCTTTTTATTTCTCTCTGTACTGCACCAAAGGTAAGATACTACTACCACTGTGAGACTGATACATCTCTATACAATTCTTCTGCAGAAGGCTTAAAAAGGGGGGGGAAATAAAAAAAGGAAAAAGGAAGGACCCAGACGCAGGCTAAAGACACCATAAAGACTGATTTAAAAACAAGAAGTGAAATTATGAGGAAAAAGCTGCCCTAGCTATTCTATTCTTAGCAAGATATGATGAAGAAACTCAAAGCCATTGGCCTCCTAACCAGTGAACTGACATTTTCATTCCAAGCTGACAGCACAGTTTTGCTCCACAACATCAGGGGTTCAGCCAAGCCAACCGATGAGCATTTCACTGTTAACCAGAACAGCTGAAAGTCCAAGAGAGAAAAAAGAAAAGACTGGAAACCCACGATATTCAAAAGGCTGTGCAATGGCATTGGCAGGAAGGGGCCTGCTCTACTGGTCTGAACCATGAATCAGGGCCTGATAACTCAGTTTTAGCTTCCTGAGAAATCAGGTAAGATATTTATCCATTGTGTGATGGATCGCAGTTGGAAAAGCAGGACTGATTGACCACAGCAAGATATACCATACATTTGTGACATATCAGAGACCGCTGAGCAGGTCACCCCATGCTCTGAGTAACCTTACACCCTACGCTTCTAAATTATGTTCAGATCTGCATTATTCCTTGAAGAATTCAGGAAATTAGGACAACATATTCCCTTTACGCCGATAATCAGCCACTCTGTAATCACCATAATCAAATAAGGATTGTTGTCTTTCCCTTGTGCAATTAATCACTGGATTTTGGAGGCAGCTGGAAGCAGCAGTGGAGGCAGAAGTCCATTAGTCACTGTTTGAAATGGGCCAGCCTGGCCATCTCCCTTAACTGACAACTCCAAAACAACATAAATCCATGAAGGGTTTTATGTTTAATGTGAAACTTTATCCTGCTTAGAACATTAACTTAAAAAAAAATTAGAGACTTAAATAATTTTCTTTTATTATTTACACCAGAAAGGAAGAGACTTAGGAGTATCCTTTTACTGGGTAAAATACGCTCTCTGTTTCCAATGTACCCTTTGTATACCCAGCTAGTATCTAACATAACTAAAAAACCACTGCTTCACCCCTCATTTTCTGTAGCTGCAGAAGATATGGACAACCAACCAGGTACCAGAGTGATACCAGCCCATTCAACTTGCTGCTCAGATCCCACCCCAGACGACAGCAGAATCCCTTAAGAACTGCTCCACCTTTGCACATGAACCAGTCCCATGGTAAAAAAAGAACAAATTCAGCAGATTCCGCATAAAGGAAAATATACTTTTCATTTAACGCACATATATCCTTTGAGTGCCGCCTACAGGATATCAGCACCTGGCTTGTGACCATCTGTAACAAGATAATGAATATCAAATATGAATTACCTTGGCCAGCTCTCTTATTTCCGACTAATTTTCTTTTCTTACCCCATTGACCAGTGCCAAGCACAGCACCTTAAAACTGTAACTAGTCAAAAGCTATGGTTTCTTTCCTTTTTTGGTGTGGCAGGATTAGATGAACCAGTCATTCAGCACTAAGAATTTGATGCAAATAAAATAAATCCATAACTACTTTTCCCTTCCACTCTTGGCTTGTCAGGTGTTCCAAAAAAGCCTCTGTTTCTCCTACACCATTTCCGTGTCTTCCTCTTGAATGAGATTCTCCACACTCCTGAGGCAGCCAATGTTCCCCAAAGACCAAGATGGTCCAACTTCTCCATTTTTTAATTAATTTTAAATAATAGAATGTTTTCCAATGTGGTAAATGGACCGTATATTAAACCACAGATCCCCAACCAAAAACGATACAGGGAACCTCAAAAAGATTTAAGCAACTCTGTGAGTGCTCAAGCAGTGCCTATTTTTTAAGACCAACTTCTACTGAAATCTGTGGGGTTTCTACCAAGACTGTAAGAATTCCCAAGCTTATAAATATTTGGAAAATATGCAATATAAAGTATAAATTTTTGGTCTCCAGGTATCTTAATTCATGCCGTCTGTGTTTTCACCAGTCTCAAATCATAGCGATGCTGGGAATTCAGAAAGATCTTGCAAATGAACCAGGCAGGAAAGAGAAGAGACAGTTCAAGCCCCATCTAAAACTATAGGGCTGTCCTTTTCATCACTGGTAGCAGAGAGGGAGGGGAACAATAATATCTATACATACAGCATGTCCAGACATCAGTTCACAGGCTCCAGGCCAACTGGAAGCAGCTCCAGTGTGGTCTTCCAGCCTAAGCTGATATTTTACTCTACCTCTCAACAGGGTTTGGGCTCACGTCTGGTGGTCAGCATCAACTCAGCCACATCCACATCGCTGCTCATCAGCGCTAAACACAAACGAGGTGTTGGCAATTGCTTGTTATGTGCCATTCTATGCCATATGGGGAATGTGTGTATGAGATGGTCTATGATGGGACAACTCCCTCCATCTCAAATAAATTAAAACATAGCTTCAATAATTAATTTGTTACTAATTGCTCTTTAACTTGTCAGGAATCTCTCAAATAGAGATGCATAATTTGATGGAATAATTCTACTATTTCAATCGTTGATAAAGTAAAATCTGGTATTTTTACTCTTAAAAATAAAAACCAAAACAAAACCTAATGGAAGGCCAGTCGTATTTCATAAATCAACAGGCTTTAGGAAATCTCAAAATATAAATGAGATTTTTCTTTTCCAACTTGTCAGCAGAAGCAAAGGCCCTGCCAACATAAACCATCAATGCATACTTGTCTGAGAAATTGTGATGCTGAAGGAAAACTTGGCCAGGGCAGCACTATATGAAACTGTGATACATTATTCCGCTGTACTATACAGGGAAAGTTAAGTAAATCAATAAATCTGATATCCATGAATGCAATTAAACATTTGGTTTTAATGAAGCTCAAAGCTATACTCATTTCTAAACAATAAAAATAAAAAGCACTGTTACCACTGGGAGAGGAATGTAGATGTTTTCAGTTTGTAAGAAATTAATTAGGCTATCGAGGGCTGTCATGCTTACACACCACATATTCCCATTAAGTCTGCCCACAGATGCAGTGAAAGACTCTGCAGCGCTCGTGTGCCACCGAAAAACCTCCAGGACCTTCATTTCATAATGAATGCTACTGCTCCTGAAGTAAAGGGTCTGATCCCACAGCTGTACCACTGATTTCAGTGATGGGTTTGGGTGAAAAGATAACAGAACTGGAGCCTTGTGGCCCTCGAGTGTTCTCATGATGCTCGTGATGGGGGTATGGTAGTTACTCATTCAGCATTTCTCAACGTGCATATTAGAAGGTAATCCATCAAGTGATAGGGCATTTTTATTTACTTTTCTTACACATTCTCCATCCTCAGGACTCTGAATAACAAGTTTCCAGGTAAGTAAGCAGGCAAATCAACAAAAGAGGAAGAAAAATGAAGTAGTGACTGAAAACTTCATGTTTAGTCAGTTTTAATAAGTTGCAGATGAATACTATCGGGATAAATGAACAAGATGATCTATCGACTGTTTTTCTAAAGGGCTAGGTGATCTTTAGATGTTTTCCAAATGGTTTGGTCATTCTTTGACTTTAAAGGACGGAGAAATACAGAGGATGGGAGCTGGACTTTAGAGACAGAAATCCTCCCATCCCCTTCACTGGACAGGCAATTCACCTCTTTCTGCAGCATTTCCCACCTTTAAAAGAGTAAATTCCAGTAAACTCAGACAATAATTACCTTTTGATGAAGAGCATCACACAAGACTCGAGTAATACTGTTATCCCACGACACTGCACATCAGGATTCCATTAAAATAACAAGCCTGACCCAAATCATCGAAGGGCAACATCTCAAAAGGAGGTTAAAGCAGTAGCAGTATTGGGTTTACACACTGCAGTAGCGGTAGAGGTGTTCTCACGCTGACACATCATTAGTCAAATACATTTCATTCCAGGCAAAACCTTTCATTAGCCTGAAAATATATTCTATAGCACAATGTCTAAAATGTATTCATACCCAGAGACCACTGTA